AAAGGGGGGGGGGGGAGGCAGCTAGTTATCTTCGATTCCATGACTGCACAATCAGTACATGACTGGTTGCCATGCAAATTGCCCCAGGGTAGTGGGTAAGGCAAAACACAAGCTAATTACCAGCTTAATGAGAGATTAATTTGCAAAACATTAGGCTCAGACACAACAGGAGTCAATTCCATGGACTGTTCAGCAGCTTACATTCCCTGTTTGCTACAGGTGAGAGGCTATCACCTGGAGAACTCTTAAAACATTCAGGTAGTTTGTGTTGGTCTGACGCAGTCGATATATATATATTAAATAAAATTGTCCAGTAGCACCTTAGAGAAGGGTCTGGTGACTTCTGTTTCGGTGTCTCTGAAGAAGTGTGCATGCACACGAAAGCTTATACCAAGAACAAACTTAGTTGGTCTCTAAGGTGCTACTGGACATTTTTTTTCTTTCTTAAAACATTGTGAACATAGATGGCAAACTTGTACCTAACATAGTTTTGCCATAGACATACAAATTTCTGTATTGGGCAACTTCCAGCACATGTGCCTAATTAGACCTAGCAGCAGTATGAATTTGGATCATGAAACCATTTCCCTCAAATCACTTCCACCAACATGCCAACATGTGTGAAGTCAGGTGTGGGCCAGTTAAAGGCATGGCTATAAAAGAACAATCAGGAGCTTAGCACATGCTCCCGATTATTCTGCGGCAAGTGGGGCTACTTGGCAACCAGCTGACTGGCGCTGACAGGGAGCCCCAGTAGAACTGGCTGCCTGCACACCCTCCAACACTTTGAAGCCAACATCTTTGACGCCATCTTCCCAGATGCCATCTTCCCAATCTTTTCTTTGCCAGAGATGGACATCTGTCTTAAACCTCAGAGCCCCTTATTTCTAAAGTTGCTGGGCCCATGTGTAGCAGGAGACGAGGCGACTCTCTCGTGCAACCTTCATCCTTGATCGTTTGAAACTCAAATGCACTGTGGCAGGCAAATCTTAAAAATAACACGGTGAATATCAATGTCCTGCTTAGGAACTGGCACTAGTTCTACACCTGGGCAGTGGGCCATGTCCAGTGTTTGGTATTCAAAGTATGGATCCCGTCCAGGAGAATGCAATTTACTCTGTGTCTGCTGGATTACCTTACATAAGCACACCCTTCGCCTTCTGAAGGGATTTATTTTTGTTTTAATCTTCCATTGAGCAAACAAATGACCTTTGAAAGGATCTGGGGGAAAGTTTGACTTCGAAGGTATGCTGGGACTAAGCTGGAGGAATTTCTGGAATGGAGATCTTGCTAAGCGATTGAAGAGAGAGTAAGAAAAGAGGTTTGTGTTTCTTCACTGAAATGTTGAGGAGCAGTTCTTGTCTGGCGGTGCCATTTCATATTAGATTGTGTTACAGTACTTTTCAGAGACTGATGCTGGCAAACTAGGCAGAAGTATCAGGTGGAAAGTGGCATATATGTTACCATGTGTGTATGATTCAGATACCACACAAAGGCTGTTCTGAATGACGTCCATGTGGTAAACCATAAAGTGTAGGGCTGTGCTTCTCTGGTGGTGCAGAAATGAGGCATCCACAGTTGAGGAGATACTGCTGAAAACAAAATGAATGTTTGGAGATAATAATAATAATAATAATAATAATACAGTGGTACCTCGGGTTAAGAACTTAATTCATTCTGGAGGTCCATTCTTAACCTGAAACTGTTTTTAACCTGAGATACCACTTTAGCTAATGGGGCCTCCCGCTGCCGCCGTGCTGCCACCGTGTGATTTCTGTTCTCATCCTGAAGTTCTTAACCTGAGGTACTATTTCTGGGTTAGCGGAGTCTGTAACCTGAAGCGTCTGTAACCCGAGGTACCACTGTATAATGATTGTTGTCTGTTGTTGTTGTTGTTGTTGTTGTTGTTGTTGTTGTTGTTGTTGTTGCAGTTTTGCTCTTAGCCCAAAAGTCCCCTTCAGAATTATGTATGTTTTCATTTTGTATGGAGCTGTTTGCCCAACTCCCACACATCTTGAATACAGTGCATTGTAGTGCCATCTAGTGCTGAAATATATTATTCTGTAGAAGGCGAAATAGAAGGTATGAGGGAGTATGACATAAAATGGGAGATTACGGTATATAATACAAAGCAAAAGTCTCTCCCGACTTGGCAGAAGACTACCTTCACTTGACATCTTTTCCTGTCACTTCAGTAATTCACCTCTGTGTTACATTTGGCTGTTGTTCTTTGGCTGTTCTTTTCTTTTCTAGATGTTGTCATTCAATAATGGCACTTGCACATCTGTCCTTTATATGGATACCCTCCGGGAAATATAACATGGCTTATATTGGCATAGTTATGATCTTGTGGGCATCATCATTTCTATTGTAAAATCTGACCACTAAAATGTGGTGATGAAATTACATTAGGCAGCAGAAGTTCAAAGGAAAAAAAAGTTATATACCATCTCACCTTCTATGATTGGTGGCTAGTACTAGGATGCGGGTGGCACTGTGGTCTAAACCACTGAGCCTCTTGGGCATGCTAATTAGAAGGTCAGCGGTTCAAATCCACACGAAGGTGAGCTCCTGTTGTTCTGTCCCAGCTCCTGCCAACCTAGCAGTTTGAAAGCACGCCAATGCAAGTAGATAAACAGATACTGCTGCAGCGGGAAGGTAAACGGCGTTTCTGTGCACTCTGGTTTCCATTACGGTGTTCCGTTGCACCAGAAGCAGTTTAGTCATGCTGGCCACATGCTGGAAAGCTGTCTGCAGACAAACGCTGGCTCCCTTGGTCTGAAAGCAAGATGAGGGCCGCACCCCATAGTCACCTTTGATGGGACTTAACCATCCAGGAGTCCTTTACCTTTTAGTGGTTCTCCCAATGACCCCAAGGGTGCAATGGCTCCCAAGGGTGGTACAGGGCAGAGCCTTCTTGGTGGCAGCACCCTGGTTTTGGAATTCCCTCTCAAAGGAGATCTGGTTATCCATCATGCTTTGTTTCCTTTAGGTGAGAGTGTTATCTGGGCCTCTGGCACATAGTGGGACCTTGAATGTCTGAATGTTCTCTGCACACTATGCTCTATCTTATTGGTTTTTTGGTGTGTTTTAATTGTTATTTTCATGCTGATTTTAGCTGTATGATTGTTGTTAGCTGCTCTGAGCTCCTTCAGGAGGAAGGGTGGGATGTTAGTATTATTTTATTACCATACTATACATTTCTTGTTACTTTTAGCCAGGGTTTTTTTCAGCTGGAACTCAATTTCAGAGCCTCTCAGGTGGGTACCATTGCCATTATAAGAGATCAAAGGAGGCTTTCATTGTGAGTTCTGGCACCCCTTTTCCTAGAAATATTTTAGCTGACAGAACAGGATGCTACTACCCATATCACTGCTAGAAAAGTAAGTAAGTAAGTAAGTACTTGAGAACAAGGACATTTAAATGTGGCAAGCTAAACAGTCACTCATATTATTAAGTACCCATATTATGGATAATTAAGTTGCCACCAAGAATAGTTTGTTATATTACAACTTAGATTTTATTAGACAATGTTTTTCCCCCAATGTATATCCTGCAATTTATATTGGTTTTTCTTTTTTTCTTTTTCCTTTGGTACCAGTATAGTTTTGGTTTAATGTATCTAATTTATTTTACACAGTATCAGACAGGAAAAATAAAAACCCCAAGATAAACACCATCAATTCTATTTATATTCCATGCCATACATTCAACACTAGATGGCATTGTTAAGCTAAGCCAGTTTCTTTCTAAACCCTTGGTGGAGTGTTTGCCCAGATTATTTTCTTTCCTAGGTCGTTCTTGTGGCATTTGATATTGTATTGTGGTGTATTGATATTGTATTCCCTGTAAACAAGAGTTGCCTGATATAATGATGGCTTCTGCCCTTGAACCCACCTGCACCTCTTCTGTAAATAGCAGCTGAGCCGCCAATTCCTTCCAACATCTTGGTTATACAAAATACATGAATCATCCTTGGTATTTTCAACAACAGGCTAAGTAAAAGTGAGAGAGCAAAGCCACAAACTGCCCTATGGCACCCTGCCCTTGACTGGCCCTTCTCTGAAGGTTGCAAATTAGAAAGGTCTTCTTGATTGTATTTCCATGCAAGACCATATCAAAGACTGTTGCTGTTGTTTCAATTTATATTTTACTTTTTCATTAAAATTGTATGCCCAGAAAAGAACAGAAAACACAGACAAGTGCTCACTAAAATAAATAAAAACCTAACAAACATAAAAACCAGTAAAAAGAGCAGGATCAGCAAATTATTAGGCATAAAAAGCCCAACTATACTAAGTTATCAGAGTTCACCTGAACTCGTAGGAAAAAATGGAACCTGATGGATCTAAATACCGTAAGAATGGCATTCCAAAGTTTTGGTGAAAAAGCAGTGTATGTCCCTTAGTTCACCAGCTGAATCTCTAATGGTAGTGGAATAGAGAGCCTTTGACACCGATTAAGTCTTGAGCAAGTTTATAAAGGAGGAGGCACTTCGTGAGATATCCTGACCCCAAGCAGTTTCAAAGCCCCAGTAAGCCACCCTAGGTGCCATATGATTGCAGGGTCCAGGCCATATTCCAAATTCATCCTGTAGGAAACAGAACCATTTCAATAGCATTGCGGACTGTGATAAACCTTCCTGCTGATGGAGTAATAGCATATTGGATTTACTTATATGGTAAAAGAGCCATTATAAAATACATCTGGAGTAACAGACCCCAAACAGCATGGAGTATAGCATGCAGTATAATGCAAACAAAACATACAAAACTTTGCATCCTTCCCAAACACACTCAGAGATCATCTGAGCTCTCCTCTTTATTACCAAACTTCTTTTAACAGCCAGAGCATCAAATACTTCCTAACTCCATTCAATTTTTTGCAGTAACACACAACATAACATAGAGATTCTTGACAGCCCTTTCCAATGGAGCCCAGTTAACTCAAGCCTCCATTTATGCTTCTGGCAGAGAATTGCAGCATGCCAGCATAAAATATTTTCAAAATTTAGGAAGGCTAAGTAAGTTTAACTTCTTATTCATCTGATAGTCTTTCCAATTATCCAAACAGGCGTAGTAGGCAAGTTACTCAGTAACTTGGGATGGGGTCTCAATCCCTCTGAAGGAGCAGGCAGGTAGCTTGGGGTTTTTCCTGGATATGTCTCTGTCACTAGAAACTCAATTGTCCCCTGTGACTAGCAGTGCCTTTTTTCAGCTTTGGAAAGGAGGTGGGAGGGCTCTGGGACACAGCTTCTTCCCACAGCCTGGTGCCTTGCTTAGCTGGTTTTGGGAAGGCAGCGCAAAGGCTGCGTGGGGGTGGGGATGGGAGGACACAAAATTTTGTCCTTGCCCAGAGCGCCATAGTACCCAAGTCTGCCACTGCCTGAGGAATGCTCTACCAGTATAGAGATTCACAGGTTCCTTTTGTTTCAGTCTTTGAAAACATGTTCTAGTCTTTAAAAACTAGTTTGCTAAAACCTTTTCTATTCCACCAAGCTTATGCAGGCAATTAAGCATAACCTGTACATTAACCTGTAACAGTAGATCTCTGGCATTTTTTTGGGGGGGGGTATTTTTGTATGTTGTTGTAAACCACTTTGATCTTTTTAATGAATAGTGTATACAAACATTTTTATAAATAAAATAAATACAGAAACCCAAGCATACCAGGGAACAAGATCAAGAAGGAAGAGGCTTTTAACTATTGAAAAACCCACCTCCTCAGTTCTTTGCCTGCTTCAGCTTTCTCGTTTATCTTTCCACACAAAAATCTCAAAAAACTGCATCTGTAAAAAATGAATCAATCAGCTGTGTAGACTTCCTAAAATGGATACAAAGCCAATAATTGAGACTAGTGTCCTAGGCATGAGCTTGGAGGGAGCTCAAAGAGACTTCAAGGTTTAGAACTGTTCTTAGTACACGTTTAGGGGACCCCAAAAATATTCTCCAAAAACTCTATTGTGTCCTCTCCAGAGTGCTATCAATACTCCTTGCTCAAATAAGAATGCCAAGCAACAGTTGGGCTACAGTTTTAGCTCTATGGACCTGGATGGGGTCTGGAACAAACCGTTCAGATGCTTTTTCACTGAGGTGGAGGTCAGAGGTGGCACTAGCTGCTCCATCACCTGGAGTGACGCACATACTGTGCACCTGGAGGTGGGGCCATGGGGTCAGGGCGAGTGTCCCATGGGGGTGAGATGGCCATGGGGGGTGGAGCAAGCCGCACTTGGAGGGCTGCTTCCTGGGCATGGGGGGTGGGGAGTCGCACTGCTTTGCCAGCAGCCTTCCTTCCTTCCCCCTTCCTTTTGACAGCTCAGGGGGAGGCTCCCCCCCCAGGAAGCAGCCCGGGAGTGGGGGGCATGCCTGCGACTCCCAAGCCTCCCCCGAGCTGTCAAAACAAAGGGGGAAGGGGGGAAGGCTCAGGGTAGGCTTGGGAGTCACGGGTGGGCGGCCCGCTAAATGTCACCCCCCTCAGGGATGACACCCGGGGCAGACCGCCCCCACCGCCCCTGGCTGCGGTTCAAAGATAATTGAGAGAACAAAGCTTGATTTTTCATCAGCAAGCAATAAAATGTGATAAATATGTTACACAGACTGGAAATGTTAGAATTAATAAGCTGAAATGTTGACGAATTACTGTTTGCATCCTTGACATATAATAATTGCTTCATTTGTCATGGAAATCTGGGGAACTTAAAATAGCGAGCACTTGCAATGGATTTCTCTTTCTCTCTGCAAATTGCAACTCATTCCACACCCAGGAGATCCAGGATGAATGTCTTTTCTATCAGCCGCAGGCAATAACTTATAGCATTTAAGCCCCCCCCCCAATCCTCAACATTTAAAATAAGAGTCTAATCAAATTATTTCTGTTATTACTTCCAGAAGAAAGCATGCAGTTCTTCAGCAGATAATCAGTCACTGCTATAGACACAGCTCTCTTTTCTTCAGCAATCTGTACCTGCCCACTTGGCAGTCTTAATTTGTCAATATGAGAAATTCACTTTTCTGCAGAGAGGAACACTATTGAGTGGCTGGATATGTGCAACTTTAAATGGAAATGGCACCACAAATTGATTAAACTATAAATACCTTCTCGAGATAACAGCTTTTATTTATTCTGGAGAAGATGAAATGCCTTTCCATTCATTGGCTACCACTCTCTTCCATGTGTTCAACAATTGCATGCCAAGAGGAGGAGCATCACAGAAGCATCAGGCTCCGCCTCCAATCTCTGCGCATTTTCTGGAAGAGGAAGGGGGCTGCTTCAGGCAGCAAATGCTGGGGGGTTGGAAAGAGACCAATGTGTGGCATGCAGTCTTCCTGTCACCTTCTAAGCTATCCTGTGGTGAAAGGTAATCTTCTTCTTCTTCTTTGGCGATCACTCGTAGCCGAGTAAGATTGTCTTCCATAAACACAGTTTTAACAATGAGTCCGTAAGTGATTGTGGAGGCCAATTCTGGATCCACACGTCCTTCCACAATGAGGACATTGCCAGCATTCAATTGTTAGGCCAGTCAGCTTCTGCACGTGGAACAGGGAATGCATCTAGTCCTTCACCTCAGGAAACAAAATGTATTGGGCCAGCTATGTGACTGTATATATGGAGGGCCCTGTTCAGGCACTGGATGAACCTAGGTCTGCTACCCACCATAGAACAAGAGAACAGCTCCATAAGTTATGAAAAGTATATAAGTGCAATTCATGGGTAATACCAAATTAAGGGTCTACTCTGAATGCAATGTCCAATTCTGGTTTGGAGGGCAAGTTTGAATGATAGTGCTTAGCAGCCAGCATTTCTGATATTTTGAACCACCGTGAGTTTATACTGAATTGTATTAATGGTTCGATGCTGCTGCTGCTGCTGATGACGATGACTTTGATAGTTGTTGTTGTAGGCATGCATCTGTCTTGGGAGACAATGAAGGAGTGCACCATTGGGAGGGGGGGCGGGTGAAGTCAAGCTGTTAGACCGATGTGGGAGAGACATGTTTTGTTGCAGCTGGGGCAGACGAGGGTGTCCGATTGTGCTGCTTCAGACGCACCATGGCATTTCTTCTCTCGATGGTCTTCCCAGTGGTTATTTCTCCTCTGGTCACTGCTGTGGATTTTGTTGTCTTTTTTTCTTTCTTTCTTTCTTTCTTTCTTTCTTTCTTTCTTTCTTTCTTTCTTTCTTTCATAATAAATAAATTCTTAAATAAAGTGGCCTTAGTTCAACCCAACCTCTGTCTCTGTCTCTTCATTTGGCTATCAGGTCCCAATAAAGTGACTCCTTTTACTGTTGGTAGAAATGATCAGCGCAAGGTGTACCTGCCCTATCGATAGGCACATACCCTCCAAACATTTCTCCAATGAAAATAGGGACATCCCATTCCATAATGATAATTTTACTATTTATACCCCACACATCTTACTGGGTTGCCCCAGCCACTCAGGGCAGCTTCCAACATATATAAAAAAACATAATAAAACATTAAACATTAAAAAAACCTTCTCCGTACAGGACTGCCTTCAGATGGCTCAGGGGTCAGATAACTCCATACCGTCCAACATTTCTCCAATGAAAATAGGGACATCCTAAGGAAAATTGGGACATTCTGGGATCAAATCAGAAACCAGGACAGAGCCTCTAAATCAGGGATGTCCCTAGAAAAGAAGGACACTTGAAAGGTCTGTAGGCATCTTGTTGGCCACTGTAAGAAACAGGATGCTGGAAGAGATAGGCTTTTGGTCTGACCCACCAGGATTCTTCTCATGTCCCTAATTCAGTGGCAGAGCACATGCTTAGAATGTAGAAGGGCCCAGTTTCAATCCAGGGCACTTCCAGTTAAAGGACCAGGATGATCAAGCCTTCAAACACTGCAGAACTGTTTCCCTGACAAAGTAGACAGCATTCGGCTACTACTGCTTGATAGATGGACCAATAGCCTGACTTGGAATTATACAGTTCCATATGTTCAAACTATCTGCTTTTACTGCTTTCCCCCTTTGCTAGGTTCTCTGTTTGGATTTATGCAGCATTATCACAGGAATCTCTCTAGTCTGTTATTTCGATCCTGAACGTTAACAAGGAATAAGAAGATGGCCCTGGGCTGAGATAATAGTTGTGGAATGATCACTGGAAAAGCACTGCTTTGAGCATTCTTTGGCAAGGAAAGACTCTGAATAAGAACTGAAGAACTGCAGGGGGGAAATATCATCCAACTGACTCATGGGAAGTGCCTGATGATCATAAAAAGCCGTTGTGTGTGGGGATCAATTCCTAAGCAAACTGGAAGAGGAAGAAAACTGCAGCAGATGCCCTTGTCACATGTTCTGGCTTTTATGAGCTCTGAACCCTTTGGCACTTTCCCAGGTGATTGATATATTATTTGGCCATTAAGTAATTTTCATAGTAACTCCTTAACTCTTCATGATTTTGGTACAAATCCCTCCACTGCAGCTCAAATGCACAAATAGTTACATTCATGCCTACTTATCTATACTCCCAAATCAGAACACATAAGACAGTAGCTTATGTGTGAACTAGGGTCAATTTATGCTGAAGTTGTAAACCACTGTGTGTGTGTGTGTGTGTGTGTGTGTGTGTGTGTGTACACACACACACAGTGCTTTCCCCCCTAAAAATAATGTTTAGGGGTACTCTCATTTTCCTACCCATATTGAAATACTGCTCCCCAATGAGGCCAAACTTAGATTCACAAAATGTTTATGGGTATGCGTCCCCCTGCATCCCCCCAGAAAAAGCACTGTGTATATATATCTTATAGAAAAGTGGTATGTAACTATTTTAAATACCAATACAAAATACAAATAGCTTCAGCCTAATCCCCCCCATAAAATTGCTTTTTCTAAGTAGGTTTTTCATTTTTCATTTTAGACCTCTCATTCTCATATATGTTCAGAAACTGCTGCAAATGTATTTCTCAAAATCAAAATTCATGAAAAATTCATTTACCGGAGATGTAGCCAATATTAGTCATACTTAGAGTAGATACTCTGAAATGAATGGCTATGACTATCCTAGACCCATTAATTTCAGTGAGTCTAGTCTGCATATAATTTAGTAGGAAATGAGGGTATAATCCTATACACACACAACTGCCAGCAAAGCTGTGTGAAGCAACGCAGCTGCTCATAATGCCCGTGGTGGAAGGTAGGTGGGGAACAGGATTATTGGACCCAATCCAGGTTGATTGCTGCAACAGGTCCAGGCTTAGCACAGTGGCCCAATCCAAACTGGGTCCGATGGTGCTATGCAGTTGGCAGTGAGACTGTCTTAGGATCCAGCGCATCTTGGCTCAGCCCTGCTTCCTCCCTGCCCTCAGAATGCCTCATTTGGAGGATTTTCACTGCCTCCCATTCACCCACATGATCAGTGGATGGCAGGCAGCTGGCTTAGCTGGGAGAGCTGAACAGAGGAATACCTCTGCTCATTCGAATGCCTGCCCCCTCTGCCTGGTGTAAGGGGTGTGCATGTTGGGTTGCTCTGTACAGCAATAAATCCAGCAGCTACTAAGTCAGACCAAAAATGTTTTAAATAGATATTAAAAAACAACCAGGCATCAATGGCAGCAAAGGCCTTGGAGGAGAAATGAGTTATGAATTCTTCTTTTATACATTATTCCCATACATTCTCTTTTCCATCTTACCATTGTGTCAGTCTCAATGGAATTTCATGATCTTTGACAGACAGGAGATAGTGGGAAAAAGGTCATTAAATGTCTATGAAATAAAATGTACAACGTGTGAGTTGAATGAAAAGAGGAATATTTAACATCTATGGATGTGGAAATGCAAATCCCCTTCTCAATTGCTCTGGTGACTGAAATGGCATTCAGTACTATTACATCCAATTTTTCATAGCTCAGAACTAGAATTACAGAGCAACTGTGGAAGAATTCAGCAAGGAGCAATAAAGTTAATGAGATATCCAGTGAGTTAAAAAGCAAAGATAAACAGCTGCTAATTTACCGAATTCGATGAAGCAAAAACCAAGGTTAAAATGCATTTCTAAAATTATTTCAGAAGAACAAATAGAACAGATGTAATTACATCTCATTTACGTGCAAATTAAGGTTACTGTGTGCATGCAGATTGTATAGAGGCATATAGATTTAAATAAGGTGTGGGTGAAAGGCAAGGCAGTGGCAAACAGACTTGGAGGAAAATAAGAATGCAATGCTGACATTTCAAAACCTTGACATTTACCATAAGATTTTGGCCATAAGATTTCAAACTGTAGTACTAGAGGGAATCCTGGTGGGATTGCTGTCAATCTGGGATGTGGAAAAAAGAGAACGATGGCTTCATATTCCATCTTTTCAGCTGTTGTTCACTAAATGTACTGTAAAGTTTGAGTCAAACAGAGAGTGTGCCAGGGGTATCTTGAGTTGTGTGCAGTGATGGGGGTGAAATCTGATTTAGTTTGCATCTTAATATCAACCTGAAGATAGCCTGCAAAAAAAAAAGGAGGGGGGCTGAGAATAGTCTTATTGTTATATTGCAAAGAAGCGAGGAATGCCAGGGCAGTAATTGATTGTGTTGCATATCCAAGTTCCAGCTCCACCCACAATATAGCTGTTTCTTTCCAGATTCGATGAATATGTCTTAATTGAAACACCCCACAGTATGTCTGCAGGTGGGACACTCCACATTGATTCTCCTTATAAAGGAGAATTCTCTGCATTTGACCTCTCCCATTAAACATATCAAAAATCCTCCCAGCAGAACTTTTATGGGTAGTGAGGTGTCTCCTGTATGTAGGACCATCTGGTGATATTTTAAGGCCTTTGGTAACCAGCTACAACTTTTGTGTGTGGATAAAGATGCTCCTATCTGATCCAGCTCCATCTTTGAGACAATGGAAGGGCAGAATCCTTCTTTGTCAATGTCACCTTACAAGTGCTTGTTGCATAGGTTTGTATGATTTGGAAGGGGCTTGCAGGTCATCCATTTCAACACCTACTTAATAGAAGAAATTCAAAGGTATAGCATACCCAAAAGATGACTGATCACCCTCTGCTTGGAAAACTGCAACAAGGAAGAGCGCACCACCCCTCTAGGTAATTGGGTCTGCCATTGAACTGTTCTTACAGAGCCACCATTTCCCCTTTATGATGGTTATTTTAATGACATTCTTGCTAAGCCACACCATTTGGCACCAATAAGGCATATAAATATTTTAAATAACACACCGAAATGTATATTGAAGCAAAGGCCTCCCTTTGATTGGCTTAATGGAATAAAAACAGTGTTTGATTTAATTCAGGTTTTGTTACATTTGGTTTAGGTGAACTCTGCTGTCGTATCTGTGGATATATTGGTGAGAAATTTCAAGAGGATTCAAAAGCTGGTCTCAAGATAAGAGCATATCAAATGCTCTTATGAACAACCAGATAAATATTTTTGCCACATACAATCCTAATCCTTAGAAGCGAAGGAGCAATATTGTTTGATACAAGTTGGAGGGAAAAGATTTGATCCATCCTCTTCAGGTTCTAATACTGGGATTTTGGATAAAGTGAATGAGTTTCATCTTGTGAAAAATAAAAGTAGATTTATTGAGTGGAGGAAAAGTTTTATAACAGAGTTGCATTAAGAGTTGTCAACTTTTCACTCTTAACTTTGTATAAAAAAGGTAGATGCTTTAGATAACAAGAGCCTCTTACTTTTGTGAAAGGAGAGATTACTGAGGAATGGGACCACATTCCTGGCCCTGCTGCTAGTGTTGGGCATCCTGCTGGCCCTGCTTCTGATCTCCACACATTAGTCCACCCACCATTAAGAAGCTGCTCATGTGTTTGGTTCTATGTGACTGAGACATGGGCACAATGTAATCACATGGCCTTTTCTCTTTCTTTTTAATGAGCAAGGAGATAACCCCATATGGGAAATTTATAGTTTAGATCAGAGGTTGTCAAGCTGGCCCCTACCGCCCAGTAGTGGGTGTTTCAGGATTCTAGGTGGGCAGCAGGGGGTTCTACGGCACAAGCTGAATCCTCCTTCCATCGAGCACTGGTGGGCGGTAAGGAAATTTTGCCATCAAGAAAGATGCATTAGTGGGCGGTAGGTATAAAAAGGCTGACTACCCCTGGACCTAATGGTCAGGGGTCCCTTTACCTTTACCCCTGGTTTAGATGGTAAAACTGGAATGTTAGTAGCATGGATAACAGTTCCATCTGAGTTTGGAAACTTTTTCACATGTGATTCTCAAAGATTACCCATGCTATTTATTCTTTTATTTTCAAATGCAGGAGTGAATACTAAGAACGTAAGTACATAAGACAAGCCCTGCTGGTTCAGGCCAAAGGCCCATCTCGTCTGGCACTCAGTTTTCACAGTGGCCAATCTGCAGGGGCAGCATGACCCATTTCGCTACTTGAAGCGAAACAGGAAGTGCCACCTTGCCTTGCTGCTGATGCCACTCCCGCCACTCTTGCCATTCCCATATCTGCTGCTGCCGCCACACGCCCTGCTGCATCAATTGCTGGCAGAGAAAAGGTGCCACCATCTCTCTCTCTCCCCCCCCCACAAACATTTTGAGGAATTGATCCTTTACTACACGTTAGCTTGTTTTCGTAACTTTAGTACAGTGGTACCTCGGGTTAAGTACTTAATTCGTTCCAGAGGTCCGTTCTTAACCTGAAACTGTTCTTAACCTGAGGTACCACTTTAGCTAATGGGGCCTCCTGCCGCTGCGCGATTTCTGTTCTCATCCTGAAGCAAAGTTCTTAACCTGAGGCACTACTTCTGGGTTAGCGGAGTCTGTAACCTGAAGTGTATGTAACCTGAGGCGTCTGTAACCTGAGGTACCACTGTATGTGATAAATACGCTGTATGTTTGTTTGATCGTCTACTTACGCGATTTATTTCTTATGAAAATTTCCCAGTTCTGTTTATTCTTTTCAGTTTATTCCATTTTGCTTGCTGCCTGTTTTCTGTGAGGAGCGGATGTGACTGTGTACTTGATATGTGACGCTACTTTTGTGTGTGTGAGGGAGAATTAAACAGAATCCTTTTAAAAACCATATCAAAAAATGTCTCCTTTGAAATGGCAAAACGAAGAAAGCATTTCGGATAGATAATGGCATTGAGGGGAGGGATTAGAGATAGAGAGCTTCTAATGGGGAAGGGAAGCCTTCAGTCTGTGCAGTGTGAGCGCTTGCTGGCACTACAGCGTTGTAATTAGGCCTTCTTGTAATTATTCTGGAATCCCTCACGGGGTCCTTATATCAAAGAGAACTCATGTGTTTCTGCAATTGCTTTCTCACTCATGGAAACACAATGGAAACACTGCCACCTGGCGTCTCAGTTGACACAACAGTCCAGCTGGTTTTATATCATCATCATCATCATCATCAAAGAAAATAATAGTGTACATTATTTGCTCTAATGGAAAAAACCACATATTTTCATAGCTTCCCCCAAACTGCTAAGTTCTGCATCGTATTTGAGCTTTCACATGATGTAAAAACTACTTCTGGAACTCTGGTGGAATACAGCACAAGTTTAGTGCTCATTTCCATATTATTTGCAAATTGATTTTTCTGGAAGCAAATAACACAGAAACAAGCTCTAAACTTGTGCAATATTCCACTATAGTTCCATAATGGTTAGGGAAAAGACAGGGAACTGGAATGAACTGCCTTGTGAATGCAGCCCTAATTTCCTTCTACATTACCAAATACAGTCACAATCAAATACAGAGTGAAGCACATTTGATCGTATTCATTTCAGTGGACTTAAGAATGCAGCTGCCGTTTGGGGTTTTCTTCGGGAGTCAATTTCTGCAGCATTTATTCAGACAGTGTTGCCACATCCCTTTCTTCAACTCATGGATACTCTTACTAAGCAAACACTTGCTATAGTTATTTTCTTTTTAACTTTTTTTCAAATTCCATAGACACCTCCTTGAATAAGGCTTATAGGTCTTCTGGGGATCTTTCCAATTTACCTGACAGGAAATCTTTCAGCATGGTGATTTTTTTTCTGAGCAAACACTATCTGCACTCCTGAATCTGAGCTGGGATTTATGTTGTGCAATTTACTTTTGGGTTTAACTCTTTGATTATTCTCCAACGTCCCTCACCCCTGCCTTCCTGTTATTGATTTTGGTTGAGCACAGTTTCATTGTGAGGAAACCTTTAATATATCCACCAAAGTTTGCAGTTGCAGCTTTCAGCTGTTACAGAGTGTTTTATCACGTACTATTGTGTACCAAGTATTAGCCTATCTGGAGGACAGGGTGCACCTGTGAAGAAATCACAAATTGGTCGCTGCAGAGCTTCTAATGATGTATTTTCTGGTTAATCTTTAGGATTGTGATTGGGCATATGGGAAGAGGTGGTCTTTCAGGATAGGGGAAGCAGAGGATAACACACACAACCTTGAGCTCCTGAGTGGAAAAGCAAGATACAAAGATATGTTGCACAGCGCTTCGTTAACCTATGGAATATAGGGTGGCGTTTTGCTGAGGATAACAATACGTGAAAACAGTGAAGAACACAGAAAGTCCCAAGTCAGGCCCACTGGTCCATGTAGCTCAGTACACTGATGTCAGGAAATGGTCTGGATCTGAAGATTGGGGAATGCAGTCGCAGGCAGATCAGCTTCTCTCAGAAGATGAGGGGAAATATTTGTGCCCCCCAACTCCAGTGTTTTCAGAAGAAGAGAAAGAGGCAGACACAGACACAGAAGCTGAACAGCTTAGAGAGGAGTTACGTAGCTACGAGATAAGGGCAAGGGAATCAGAAGGGAGGGGACGGCTAGGAGAGATGTCAATCGAGAGTGTGGGGGACCTCTCCCCCACAATGGAACGAATCAGAGAACAAAGGAGGCAGAAGGAGGGGAGGAACTTCCTGTTGGTGCCTTTCTTGCTGCGGAAATCAGAAGGAGGGTTTAGAGTAGGCAACTACCCTCCTTGCGGGGGGCTGTATATTGTGCTTGCAACACAATGCTATAATAAAAGGACTATAAATATACCAACTGCTTGTTAATTCTTACCTGTGAAGTTACCGAAGGGAGGGGGAGGACTTGCCACGCTCGACAGCTGACCAGCCGTGGTCTCCAGGTTCTGGACAGAAGTCAATCCCAGTCCTACTGAGAATTGAGCCTGGGATCTTCTGCTGTGTGGAACAGCCCCTATCTCCATCACCCAAATGCATCTTCTTCCACCCCTTTGCTTCTCCCCACCTCAGTTTTGGTTTCTGCTTTCTTTGCCCCTCCTTTGCACCTTCATGTAAACTATCTCTGCACCTGCCTCATCTATTCCACATTTCCTTATGTATCTCTTCCCCACTTTCTCTCCTGGTTCCTGCTCCTGGTTCCTCAATCTCATGTCTCTAGGTGCATCTCTTTCTCTCCCTTCTCCTATTTCTCCTAGCAAAAAGTCTGTTATGTGAGTCCAACAGTTTTATTTTTACTGGCAATTGACATGGGTGAATTAGGCATCCACTGTACATGAATATTTGTTTCCTAGCCCCCCCTTTTTGGGGGGGGAGCATGATTATTGCTTCCCTTGTCCTCCGATGTTTGTGATTTTGCAAACCTCAGAGTTCAGCTAAGCATGCTTGCATACCCTTCAACTGCCCTGGAAAATACAGGACATTCCATTTTCTCCTGTGAGAGTATGGCAACCATTTTGGGCCCCTTGCTTGCTGACCATTTTGGGCTGAGACCTTGCCCCGTAAAGCATTTTGGGGGGGGTCCACAAATCGGTGCGGGTTGCATGAGTCACATGGGATTCAGTGTCCCAGGCTGTGTTGTGTTGGAGGATATGTATCTGTTATCTCCTTTTTGTGGGCGGCTGCTGCTGCTTTAGCTCCATAAGCTTTGGTGCACCATAAACATTGGGGTGGGGGTGGGAAAGAGCGAGCGACTGAAACGGTAATGAAAAAATAAAATTATGCAGGGACCTAGTATCAAGTTTAAAGTTCACAAATTCCAAAGGGCCAAGGCTAAGCTCACTGTTAGTTCTGAGGAAACTAGACCAGGTCTGAAGACAACCTGAGAGGCACTAGAGTGGTCTTTGAGAGAATTGTGGTTAAAGTCCTGTTGGTAGTCAGATAAACACAAGTGGGAGGTCTTGTTCATGTGTGCATGGATGACTTTGAATTCTGGCCACCTAAGGGATTCTAGCAAAAGTATGCAATGACACTGAAAACAGGCTTCCTGTTTTGAACATTCTCACCTCAGTAGTAGGACAAGAATTACATATTCATATATAAACATTAATGAGGAAAAGAAACATAAGGAAGGTGGGCTGGATTTGTCAGCATGTCTTTAAAGTTCATTTTTATGATAAATATTTAATTTTTTGTGTAGGATTGCCTGGCTGACATCTGTCTAGTTCAGAATATTCTGGGACTGAAGAATATTATTTCGTGGGCTGACATCCTGATTTAGAAAGCGGAGGTCACAAGCCTCAAGTAATTTTTTCTGGTGGTATAGACCATTAATTTTAATAAGCCTTGTATTGGCTTTGTCAGGGACCGGGCAAATGTATTTGCTTACATGTACTCTTTCTGTTTTCCCTTAAAGAAATTTGAGATTAATTTCCCCCTTGTAAAATTAATTGCAAGAGGTATTTATTGAATTTTCACAGGGTGAAACTTCCCTGGAATTATACTGTTCTTGAGTTATATTGGACAGGATTGATCCAGCAGCACAAAACATGATACTGGTGGAGAAGAACATCACATCAACATAATGATGTCCCTGCATCTGCAGGATGCTACAGACAGCAAAATCTTTAAGCAGGTGGGAAATTGCAGGGGAAAGTGGCAGAAAAAGGAGCAGGGACATAGTGAGGGAGGAGAGGAGTTTAGGAGGGATCATATGCTTTCTCATGGTTTGCAGATATCCTGTGATGGCATAGCTATCCTTGCAAAACAGGTGCAAGGTTAGGACGCAAGATATAGCTAATCATATCCCAGTAACATGCAGGTGTGATTATTACAATGTGCTGTATCTGCAATTGCTTTTGAAGACTGTTATACACCTTGGCTGCCATATTCTGTACCAGGTGAACTTGATGCAGTTGATGAATCTGTCGTTCAGGACATATTATTCCTGTCTTAAAATACTTCCACTGGCTTCCAGTTTGTTTCTGGGTACAATTCAAAGAACTGGCTATGACTTATAAAGTTCTAAACAACTGCAACCAGGGCATGGGGAATTTTGCCTGCCCACCCTGTGAGGCCCACCTTCAGAGGTGGGTGGTGACCAGGGATAGGGCCTTGTAAGTTGTGGTGCCTTGGTTGTGGAACATCTCCCCCAGACAGCTTAATCCTCCAGCGCCAAGTAAAAAAATAGTTTCATTTGTTCAACCAATTTTATATTATGCTTCTACTGCTTTTTTTTGGTCTATTCGTTTATTTGAAGAGTTTTAACTTGTTTTGTTTTTCTGGTGGAATTTGCATTTTATGGGTTGGATCTAGACAGGCAGTGCAATCAAAACTATTGGAAGCCATCACATTTTATGGCCAAGGTAAAATATGCCAATGTATGCCACACTGTGCCTGAACCTGGCCACCATTTTGCCAGTTCTTAGGTCATATTGCTAGGTCATGGGACTGAGCTGAACAGACCTTGGAATAAGGGTAAGCCTCCCCCTGCTAGGGCTTACCCCAACCTCAACTCAGCCATATTCAGCTAAACTCTGATTAAATCCCAACTGACCTTGGATGGAGAACTTCAACTTTTGTATTTCCAGCTGAGCTGGTATGTTGAACTTCAGCCAATGTAGCCACAGCTGAGTGCAAGCTTATTTGGAAATCCAGCTATTCCAGACACCAAACCCTGGCAGATCTAGGGTGCAGATTGCTCCCTCAGTTAGTTGAAATCATTGGGACTTGGGTCTTAAGTTGAACTAACCACCTGGATCCAATGCTGTGTTTAAATGTATTAATTATGTGAATCACATTGAAGGCTTATTGCATGGAATGGTGAGATACAAATATTTTAAGTAGGTTAATAAATAAGTTAAAACATGCCCACTGAAGTCAGTGGGCAACCCTCAACCATTGATACCTGTCACCTCCTTTTGCCCAGCTCAGTTGCATAACTCCTGTGATGTGTGAAACGATCACTTGCTTTCCCTGTCCCATCCCAACCCTAGAATTCCTCCACGGGAACTTCACTTGTCTGTTGTCACATCCTGGATCACAACTATCGTATGATGCTGGTTTCAGTCTTGAATGTCAGTGGAATTATTGAAGATAAATCAAGTTATTACCATCTCATATCTCATCTCTAGTTTGGCCAAAGTTAATTCTTACTCATGTTCACATTTGCAATGGAAAGGAATTATTCCAAGCAAACGACACCGCTATGGTATTTGTGATGTTAAGGTAGTTTCGACCTGCCTACAGCTGTCAGAATCCGAGCCAAAGAAAGCAACTATATGGGGAACAAAGCACTTTTTGAGAAGGTGTCGTTTTCATGGCGGCACTTCTGAAAAAAACAACACATTAATTGGACACTGCAAAGCTAGACTAAATTAGACCCAGCAGCTGTGTTTTGGTTTGCAGACAGGTGTGCCTACAGGACTATATTCTCCCACTGAGCCTCTTCATTTGTCAACAGGCAAAATGCTGAAGGTATATATAA